CAAACATGCATGCCCAACCTGTAGTCATAGATTGTTTGTCTGGGTGGCCGCAATTCCTATGGACAACCACGATATGGCAGCCATCTTGTTCGCATGAACGCAAGCAGCGTTGTTTAGGCATAAATCTCATCAGATACAGAAACTCCCAAACAACGCTGGACTTCCATCATCTCCTGCATTCGTTTCTATATAGAGTTCCCAGGACTGAGGGTCGTCCAGTGCCTGGGGGTGTCTAGAGCTAATTCCCCATTCGGCTCCAGGAAGGAGGGAGCAGTTTCAGGGCCCCAGTCAAGCCACCTTGACTGTGGGCAGAAGTGCAGCAGTTTGTCCCCTGTTCCAGCTAGGAAGCGCACCTTGGCGGAGGTACCCAGCCAGGGGTACAGGCAGCTTTGTTACACAAACTTTAGGCCAAAATACTGCAGCTGAATGGGAGAATTTTTCCAACTTGGCTACTTTGGCCTGAAGATTAAAATTCCCATCTCAATGACCTGAAATTCTCTCTTTATTGAGTAGACCCTGTAATCTGCACTATAAGTAGGCGGAGATTAATTATGTGGGTTGGGCATAGTGGGCGGAGCTTTGTGGCAGTGGATGTGGTACATTTTAAAGGTAGGAATTGATAGCTGTGCTGCAAAGTGTCCCTGGAAATGTTTTTATGTTGTCAACTATGCGAGCTGTGGTTGTTCTGGCTACTAGATGGTCCAAATGGTTCTTATCCTCCGTCATATTCTATGTTTCTATGACTATAGTGTCCCTTTAAGCACTTTTCCCCTAGAATAGCACTCCTTTACCACGACAAATAAGGCCTATAGAGTGGACAGCAGTGGCAGAAGGCCCAGTAGAAAGGCCAGGAGATGGAGTGTCAGTTCAGAGCTTCAAAGACTGAAATTCTTCCAGAGTTTTAAAACGTTCGTCAGTTTGTAATAAAACAATTAAAGGATCACTATAGTGTCAGGAAAACAAATTTGTTTTCCTGACACTATATAATCCTTGGGGGGCCCTCACCCTCTGG